CAATATCTGATTATTGATTTCCATAATAATGGCACAATGTTCACTGTGTACTGAGTACACGTGTGGTTTTGACTGCAATGCTAGTACAGCTTAAAGACGTACGCGTTTATTGTTTTTCGGACTTCAGCCTGGTCGCATCCTATTAAGTGTACTGGCTATCAACGTCGTCATTGATCTTACTGTCTAACTAAACGACTGCGTCGTTATACGTTTACGAATAAAGTAGATCTTTGACTAGTTGCTAAACTGAACATTAGAGCTGTCTAAACCGCCGCTCCTCAATAAGTAGATCAAGCGTAGATACTTAAATTTACGTTGCGCCTTCTGCACATGTACAATTTACCGCCACTGCATGCAACACCACACATTGTTCCACTGTAGCAGAACTCCTCAAGCATCTCTGTTAGGTCTTCCCTATGAAATCGCGAGAGAGGTCTATCTGAATGCTTATACAACAACGTCATCGGAACACAAAAACTTGATGGTATTTTTACCTGAAGGTTGCCAGTGTCATCGGCTTCTGAGTATGCGTATTTCCTGCGAATCATGTTGACTCAATCATAACCACTTATTGTATGCGTATATATACAGTGAAATATCATATGAGCACAGAGGGTCCCCTCATAAAGATCACTAGATTATTATGAATTTAGATTAAATGAAAGGCAAAGGATAAAACATTTTCCGGCCATGGCCGGAATGGTAGATCGATACTGAGTTGTATGGGAGAAAACTGGAAGACCTTACAACGTGTAGGCAAGAAAAGTGCGTTTCAGACTACGTATAAGTTGGCAAATTTTTTTCAAACAGCAATACTTTCCTAAGGTAAAGGATTAGACGGAATTCCCTGCGGAAGAAGCACCATTAACGGTGGTGGTTGAAGATATTCTCGAACAAAAGCCCGCATTCTTGCGTAGGCGAAATAGGTCGGGCTTATCTTTCATGCCGAATCAGTATTATAACCATATTTAAGTAATATATTCCGTCTATTTCGGGAGTTTTGATGTACAAGTAATCTTTGCCTACGCTCACTGCCTTACTGCTTTTGCGTGTCTCTCGTAGGTTCTCGGAAAAAAATCATGCAGAACATATGTGAAACAACCCCAGAACTAACACTTGATCTAGATGGCTCTCCGTTTTCGAAGTGAGTTCACCCTTTCTGATTGTTATTATGGTCACTCAACTATCCGCAGATGTAGCTGTCCTTCTAACAGGATTCTTTAAACTGCCGAACTATCCTTTGCTTAAATTTCAGACTTGGAGATGAAAAATTCGATGAAGCTTCCATTTCCGAGAAGAGCGAAGGTCTGGATGCCGACGGTGCGTTTTTTTGTATATTCTGACCTTAATTCGCTCGGTTTTCCTTGCCTCTAGTTCTTTTTAAGATCTGTCTTTGCCCGTTCTCACAAAACTACATTTGACTCGCAGTTTCACCAGGTGAAGATTTAAGTGGATTGATTGTTTTCATCTTCAACTGGAAGCTTGACATTTACTCATCGCTGTAGAGCACGAGAACCACCCTGTTCCGAAACCAATGAGGGTTTCTATGTGAATTGTGTTAATTTCTAGAGTATTTATCCTACATGAGTACCAAATTCCTACCACACTGACTGTGTCTCAATGGCTCAAATTAAATAAAGTCGACCGAAAATTAATTTGCGTCATGGATCAGGATAATTCTTCGCCTGAGACACACGCAAGTGCTAGCTCTTCAACAAAGACACAAGTGAAGCTTTCCGCACCTTCTACAATCTTGATCTGCAGTGTTAGGACCCACTTATCCTGACAATTGCAGCACTTAAATCTACAGACCTTACCACAATATGGTTGCTCAAGTTTGCCTCTCCTAAGACCGACCATTCTTCATTCAGTCCTTTAGCATTTAGCGGTAAATATAGGTCGCAGTGCCTGAACAGACATTTCGTCCCTGTCTCTCATGCCACCCACATGCCAATCATTCAGTCGACGTGAAAAAATACTATTCGAACACACGTCCGATCAGGCGCCACAACGCCTCTTGAGCGAGTCCGAGTAGCGTCATAATCATAGCTATAGTCATCGACGGGAACCACACCGAACAGGCCTTCCCTTTCACTGCTTATTCCTAAATGACAGTGTTCTTAATCGGCGGTACACTGACGGCGATTCAACAGGCTTATTTTAAGACTGTCAGTAGTAGTTCCTTTGCACCCTCGACTTTGAACTTGAGTGAGACGAAAGTTCC